AATTGCAAATTTGAGACAAATTTGATTCAAATTTGATTGCCAAGCACAATCAAATTAGTCCCGAACCTCCTGCCCTATCCCGAATGATTCGTCTGGCGCAGCCAAACGGTAACCAACCCCTCGCCGAACACCAGCCAACTACAGCCGACCTTGCTCCCGACCTACTCCTAACCATGGTTGGAGGGAGTTCGGCAGTGTTCAGGAGTGTGTGACAGGGGCTTTAGGCCACAGCAAGTAAATTTTATGGATGACATCCTCCGCAGACTCCAAATCTAATGCGAGCGGGCAAAAAAAACAAGGCGAGCCGAAAAAACAAGGTTCCTACATTTTAAAGTTTTGACTCTGGTACAAATGGTTTTGATTCGGTGGGAACATCACATATACACAGCCAGCATCACATATGACTGCATCAAAGTAAGAAACAAAACATTAAATTAGAGCATTTTCTTGTCTCCTCTCTTCATAGTTATCTGCCATCCACGTTCCGGCATGGCAACAGACATCTTTGCCCATTTTCGGCATGGTGACAACTGTCAGAAGGCAACAAAATTTCTTGTTTTTTTTCCCCAAAATTAGGCGAAAATTAATGCGCGCGTTGATGTCATCCATGAAAATTACTTGCTGTGGCCTTAGTTACGTACCTAGTTCCCATTGCAGTTCTGATCTACATCGCTAGGGTTCATTGCGTTCCATGTCCTGACTAGTGGTTGCTAAAAGAATGTTGGGTTATTTATGAAGTTTTGTTTTAAAGTGCTCTTAAAGTTCAAGAAATATGAATTAACTAAAACTCGTTCGAAGTTAAATTATGGGACTTCTCTTTTATTTTCTCAGCTGTGTGTTAGCTTTAGCCTCTACCAGGCTTGAGGGCGCGGCCGGAAATAGTAGAAATTGGCCAAATAGCCATCCAGTTTACAGTTTGCCGGCCCACTGTAAACTGGATTGCTAAACTCCCTCGGCGTGTTATCTCTCTATTTGGCCAATTTCTACTATTTCCAGCCGCGCCCTCAAGCCTGGTAGAGGCTATGTTAGCTTGACTGAATCACATTCTACATACGGTACACGCACGCCCTCTACCGAAGTAGCACGTCCATTCATGGCGGGTAGATTATAATCTCCAAGCAGATCTGCTTGGAGATTAGGTAGATTATACCAATATAAGCAAGTACAGGGGTGTTTGGTTGAAAATAGTTTTATTTAAACTAACTGTTTCTCGATTTCTATTGTTTGTATAATAGCATTAGGTCATAAAACCTATGGCCAATTTGATTCGGTCTTTGCAGCCACCCAAAGATCTGCTTGGAGATTTTAAACCACAAACAATGCATTGTTGTCGACTGTTGCTTGACAGTTGTCAACTGATAATTGATTAATACATTGTCCAAAAATTCCACATACCAAGGAGGTGTGCATTTCTATTAGTGTGTCTGAGTCTGAAAAGAACAACTCAAGTGTTACATTGTGTACTGAACTGGCTTTGGGTTGGGCTTCTTAACGACGAATTCTATTCGTTCATTTAATCTCATCCATATAACCTCTCATCTGGTTGGTCAAATGTTGTACACAGCCGGTGGGTATATTTGCATATCGCACAGGTGGAAAATTCTGGAGGAAACCATTGTTTCCATCTAAACGGGGGACGAGATTTCTCATTACCTTTTCTGTACCAAAGAATAATTATAGGTTTGTCATAAAGCCTATGTATTTACCAAAGAATGCAAATTGCAAAGTTGCAGGAAAGTGACCCTAACGTCCCTTGCATAGTCTGGGCGATTAAAACGAACTTCATTTTTCAGTGTGACGTCAGCACTTACCCGTAAAAACAAAAGGGACAGTCCAAAATCAGCTCCCGTCGGTGAACAGCAAGCCAGCGTTAGTAGAAGCAAGGACTTGGTACAAGCTACTACGTGTTAAAGGTAAGCGTGCAGGTTAGTGATCTTTTTCTTATTTTCCCCTCATGGCAGCGCAAAAAGGCCCCGGCGTTTTATAGCTAGCCTGGGTACCATCCGGATTTTCGCTACGCAGCGTTCGAAAAAATCGAATTTTGTTTCGAGCGTTGCGTAGCGAAAATCCGGGTGGTACCCAGGCTATTTTATAGCACTAACTCGTGCGCTTTCATGTAGACATGTAATTCGTGCGTTGGCGTTGTATAAGTGTAATTCGTGGATTCCTGAGATTTTGAGGCTCGAAACACGCTGTCAGCTTGCGCTCAAGCTGGCGGTGCTAACTTGGAGACCCGGGCGCTGTATAGTATTAACTCGTGCGCTTTCATGAAGACCTGTAATTCGTGCGCTAACGTTCGTAATTCCTTTTGAGACTCTGAAAGCTGGTCGCGCAAAAGACCTTGTTTCTTGATTTGTTGTATGACTATGTGTTGAAGATTTGTCAGGAATTTTGTGAGTGCTACACAAAATTCCTTCCATGATATTGTCATTGCCTTAGTCTAGGTTTGGTGGTGTTATTTCACATGGCTTGGTTATTTTGTATTAATGTGATATTGTGATGATTCTATTCGTGTGGTTTACGCTTGTATGTTGCTTGCAGCGCGCGGATGTGAATCTTTTTCAGAAAGGTTCACATCAGTATCTTTTCGTTGCTAAGTCAATTTACTGGCTCAGCAACGAAAAGGGGCATCTCGCGACGTTGTTATAGTTGTAAAGCGTGCGTGGTATAGGTGTAAACGTTGTTTAGTTTTAACCCGTGCGTTTTATAAAGTAATTCGCGAGGACCCAAATATCAGTGATGCCCACATGTAGCGCGGCGCGGTTTCACAAAAATCTTAACAATACATCAAATGGTGTCGTTCTTTCTGCAACCACTTGCACACACGTACACAAACACTATTGAATTCATTGTATTCCTTGTGCTCTTAGCAGGGGAGCCATCTTAGTATACGTAAGATCGCTCCCATGCTCTTGGGCTCTTTATGGTAGTATGTTCACCCATGTGAATTAACACCACTAAAATCCATAGAATTCCAAAGACCAGTACTCTTATGGAATTCTATGGATTATTATTAGAATAGGACATTTTATCTTAGTTCCTATTACAGTGTACTAACGATTTTTCTTCCTCATGAAAAAATGGGGGGTCTGTCCCCGCTTGTGTAGTTCTTATGGGGTTAGGTCCAACTCATGCCTTTTGCTTTTATATTGTCCCATTTGGGAAAGGTGGGTAGTTTGGGTGATACGTGTTAGCATTAGTTTGTGCAACTAATGGATATCCCAATAAAGTATCGAATTTGTAAATAATGTATATTTGATACCAAAGGACCTATAAAAACGAATTTAAAAACCATTCTTAAAATGATTATCTAAAACTTTTAAAATATCGTTAATTTGTTAGGCTCGTACTGAACCCCCTGGGCGTCTTATGGGGTAAGTTTTAGTTAGTTTCCCTATAGCTAGCGCCCCTCCCCTTTACTATATTGTAACTTTCTATTGCCTGCAGCTGTATCTTCGCACACACGCGCACACATACACTTCAAAACGTCTCTAAAATATATAATATTCCGATGCTTAAAATGTGTATAAAGTGTCTGAATGTAAGAGGTATGCAAAAGTTTAAAAACTAT